CTCTAACCAAAAAATTAGGACAAAACTCTAACCAAAAAGTTAAGGCAAAACTCTAACCAAAAAGTTAGAACAAAACTCTAACCAATTTTATATATGATTTTTCTTAAGATGTTTCTGAAAATGTCTAGAAACATAAAATCTTCTAATATGTTTGGAACAATGACTCAATAAAGAACAAGTAGGCTTACCACAATCAGAGCAGGGATAATAAGGTAAAGCTTTATAATGAAAATAGCACCCCTCAGAGCGAGTACTATAACGCATACAAATTTTATCAGAATAATCAACAAAAGAGCAAGTATACATAGTATGTATTTTTATATAAGGTAAAAATTCAATTTAAACAATTTTCTATAAGTATATAATAAAACTGATATATAAAGAATAATTTTGAATAAAAATTTTCTATAACTATATTATAAAACCAATATGACTCGTAAACAAAATTGAACATGTGAAAGCTGTGGATATATATATTCAACACCACAAAAACTTCATCAACATTATAATAGTAATAAAAAACTATATCACCTCCAAGATTTACCAAATCAGAATCCAACTCCACTAGCTAATCCAGAAATAGAATTTCTCAGAGCATTGGGATTATTTAATTCTCCAGAAATTGCTGAGACTATTTTATCACCAGAAGCTGAAAGAGAATATCTCGAAGCATTAGAAATATTAGAACCTATTCCGCAATTTCATCAAACTGATATTATTAGCTCCGGATATGAATTATTAAATAATCATTATCAAGTTGAGATAGGAAAAGAAAGTATAAATGCACAAGACTCTATTAATACTCTTGGAGTGCTTCGAGAACAAATAATAAATATTTTTAATAATCGATTTAATTTCACCTATGGCTTCAAAACTCGATTATGTCTTATAAGAAAAATAAGTCGAACAACAAATTATCAAGAGGGGTTATTCGAAGATAGAAAATTTGCAGAAGAAGCTGATAATGATGAAAAAGACTATAAAGAAGTTCTGTTTAAAAACAAAGCAGTAGTAGTAACTGCTAAAGAGGACATCCCAAGAATTGTAGATGAACTTATTTGGGATATTGAAAATTGAATAGAAGTATATATCTATGAAGGCTCAGGTTGGTATTTTGTAGAATCAGAAGAAGTAAATATTGAAATGCCAATCTTTGTTCTATTAGCTGCTAGTTCTCATCTTCCATTACCCAAAGGAATACCAAAACAAAATAATGAAATTATTAATATTAAGAATGAAGATAATCGATGCTTTGAACGATATATTTTAGAAGATTTATATCCAGCTCCCTATCATCGAGAGCGATCTCAAAATCAAAATCCTCATTTAGGAGAGTTAAATTTCAGAGGGATTCAATTTCCAGTAAAAGCTGACAATAATACAATGGAAAAGTTCGAGAAGCAGAATTCAGATATATCTGTATCAATTTATGGATGGAGTGAAAAAGAACTTATTCCAAAGAGAATTGCATCTAAATCCAAAGTACATGATAGATGCAATCATAAAAAAAGAAATTGTCAACCATGTAAGTTGATTCGTCTTTTATTAATTACTGGAGATGATCCCAAAACAGGAGAACCAGCTCAACATTATTGTTTAATCCAAGGAAGAGATAGGTTAGGAAAATTAGCTAGATATACAATTAAGCACAAAGGTAAGTTATATGTTTGTGATTATTGTGTAAGCCACCGAACTTATGATTCTAAGATTGATGCTCAACACATAGAAGATTGTGAAGAGATTAATACTCCAGTACAAAGAACTGTAATACCCAAGGAAGGTAAAAATATATATAAATTTAGACGACAAGAAAGAATGTTAGATGTTCCTTTTGATTGTACAGCAGATGCAGAAACTCTTTCTATCCAAATTAAAAAGAATCAAGGATCGAAAACAATAGCGATCCAAGAGCATAAAGTTATAGGATTTGATTATATAATTAAACGTAGTGATGGCAAGACTAAAGTACCAGTAAAAATCAGAGGAGATGATCCTGCTGGAGAGTTTATTAAAGCAATGGAAAAAGAAACAGAGCAAATATGAGATTATCTTGCAGGAGGATATGTAATTCGAAAAAGTGCAAATGCTTTATGTAAATTATTAGAATCAAAAATCTTACCAGAAACATTAACCAAGAAATTTCTTGATATCTTTATTTCCTATCAATATTGGGATTTAAGTGTAATGATAAGAAAGAATGATGAAGAAAATTTAATTAAAATTAAAAATGAATTAAAAGGCCTTTATCAAGCTCATAGAAGAGATCCTCTTGGAGTAGATATAGGAATAATGTACCATTTTGCAAATACAATTTATTGCAGACTTCGATGGCCTGGAGAACCAATAAAAAAATTAACTACCCAAGAAGAAAAAATTCATAATTCAGCCAAAAAATATTATATATATGAAAAGCCATTTGGAAAAGAAGATAAACTTAAAAAAGTTTGAAATCATGATCACATTACAGGTAACTATAGAGGACCAGCCCATAGTATTTGTAATTTTCAATTATGAATCAAACCGGAACAGTTTAAATTACCAATTCATTTCTATAATTTAGGTAAATTTGATGCCTATCTTATTTCTCAAGCTATGGGGTGAGTAAGTAAAAAAAAGATAAGCGCTATTCTCCATAATATAGAAAACTATCTAAGTCTCGATATTGGAAATCAAAGATATATGGATTCATTACAACTTATACCTGGATCTCTTGATTCTCATATATCTAATTTAGGAGCTGAACTATGTAAAGAAGAAGTAGATAAAGATAGAAATTCTTTAAACTTACCATGTAAAAAGTCTGGTCATCTTTATCGAATCGACTCTAATAGATGCTTTGCCCATCCAGAGAGGTTTCCAATAACTAGAGAACATGGACCAAAAGGAAGAGATGATCTAGTATTTTGTAAAGGTATTTTTTCATATGATTGGTTTAATATACCAGAAAAAATGGATGCAACTTCTTTACCTTCTATTGAGGAATTTAATAGTATTCTTAATAAATCGAAATGTAGCATAGAAGATTATAAAAGAGCACAAGAAATATGG